GAAGTAAAACTCTTCATTGCGAGCATTCCATGGAGCAGCAGGTGATGTGTTAATAAAACCCCCTTTTGGGTATATGCCTCGATGCTACATGATAGTGTCGAGAGAGGAATATTCTCGTGCCCCTTTTCAGATGATGACTATTTAGGCGTGATAGTTAGATGATCTATCGTGATTCTACCATAATCATCAATTAAATTACATCATTGAATATCATATATCGGTCATGCTTGTTTTTGATGATGACGCATCTAGGCTAACGCCAATGCTTTAGCAGCCCCGGTGTTGCCTGGAGGTCTGTCAGCAGGGTGCTCGGCGCTGGCAGCCACCATTAGAGTAACAAATCTCCTGCCATGAACATAGAATAGATCTGACCCCTTATGTGAGTTGATGTAGGTATCTCTAGATATGTTCCACATGCGGCGGTGTGCGCCACAACACAGGCTTTCTCTCCCTCGATCTTTGACTGCAGGGTTTGACCTAACTTTTGTATTCCTTAGTTACCTACCTAGGTATGTATGCATCACAGCACAGCACTAAGTCTCAGGATCTTTTCTCAACACGAACGGGAACTCGTAATTCCATTACCAGTCTGTCCTCGAAGGCTCGCCCACTGGCAGCAGCTGCCGAAGTCGCATAAATACCACCATGGTTGTGAGCTCGTGTTGTCAAGCCTGACTACAGAAGGCTTCAAAACATCTTCTGGTAGCGAACAGGCATCGTACAGAGTCGGACAAACACCGGGGACAAAATCAGAACGTCATTGTTTGGTCTCAATCAAATTCATCACGAGGTAAAGTGCATATAGCAAGCCTTGCACTCCTGTGATCGAGTCAGTACGTCAAGCACAAAAAGGCCAAGTTTACACGATGAACCTGCTTCGTGTTAGCACTACCAGTCAATAATCTCACGTTGTCTTTGCGCGAAGTCGGTCTACCCTCCAGGGTGGCAAAGTTACCATGCTCCGCTCCTGTGTGTCAGTGTACCCTTCCCTAGAACCAAGAATATCCTCCATCAGCCTAGCATATTCGCCTTCGAACTCAACATCAAGACTGCTTTCGACCCTCATGAGGCTTCTGGTGGGATTGAGAGAGACCTGGTCTTGTGCTCTCGCATTGGCGCGGCCTTCATCATCTCGAAAGGTGCCGTTGGCCATGGCCAGGTCCCGCAGTTGCTGCTTCTTATGCTCATTCAGCCACTCGGGTGTAGATACTGCATTAGTAATGACCTCCTGGATCAGTCTCTTCCCTTCGTCCACTTTCCGCTGTGTGATTGCGGTGACGAGAACGTGGAGTGGCTGGCTGGAAACGTCAGAAGCGCCCCCTATCGGCTTTGACCTGCCCCTCCCTTCCTTGACAGACCCTTTGCCTCGAATGGCCAGAGTCACTCCGGCACGCTCTTGCATGGCCTTGAGGGTGGCCCCTCTGGGCCCAAGGATCTGCCCGATGAAGTTGACGGCAGGAAAGTCGGCTTGCGGGATGTATATGCGGTCAGCGAAGCCCTTTGGACGACGATAGTCATGCGGTAGTTGATACGACGGAGTCCTGGCGACGGCCTCCTCGATGCAGCGGTGCCGTTCTGCTTCAAGGGCTCGACGACGCCGCTGGAGGCGTGTATTCGTGCGACGGCCCGCTGTGTCATATTCTGGGGCGGGCGAGTGCTCCCGGCGCCAGCCTGGTTCGGCGGTCCTTGTTACCAGGACGTCAGGCAGGGTTAGTTGGTGCGTAATTTCTCGAATTCGAAAATGAGTCACGTAAGCGTCAAGTTGCTCGGCGGTCATGTTAGCCTGTATTACCACTGGAAGGATTGTCCCGTCAGCATTGGTGATGGGAAAT